TTTGAGACATTCTCATGAAACAAGTATTCCTGGAAACATGACAGTTTGTACTAGTAATAGGAAAACTTGTTACTGCCTAGTGCCAGGTTTATTTAGAAGGCCTTGTAGACCATTACTGCTGCTGACAGGTCAAGTCTTAGACAATATCCAATCTGCTTTCTATGTCAATGATTAAAAATGACTGGGTTTGAATTAACCATAAGGGAGCCTTCCAGCTGCCATATGCCACTCACTCTGCCAGGCTCAGCTTTCATCCAAGCCCTGGGGGACTTGCACGATCTTACCTTTTAACAGAATTGAAAAGTAAGATCTTCAGTCTTGCCATCAGAAAAGCTATCTGACAATAGCCCCAACACTTACCCTGCTAAGAATTACAACCCTACATACCCTGGGATTTCACAGAGTGGGCACCAAACCTCCCTCTTAGTCCCGTGAGCAACAGAAGATTCTCATTTAATCCCAGCTGTAATCCTCACAGGAAGCATAATTTCAAGATTGACAGCACTCTTCAGAATTTACCATGAAAGATTAATCACTTTCATTTCAACCTGCCTTACTTTCCACAAGCCTGTCAGTCTGCCATATCCAGCAATACACTCTACAGTTCCTGCTGTCCCGACTGTTAGAAGAACTTAAATCATAACCCAAAAGCTTCACTACAGTGAAGGAAACTCCACCTGCCATTTAACTAGCTATGACTGCCCCAGAAAGCCGCCTTCCTAAATTACTGGCATACAGGGTCAAGCAACACCATTAGCTTACAGTCCCTTCCATCTCAACCATACGCTAGCCACAACATCAACAAAAACAAGTGACTTGCAGCTTCCAAAAATCATGCCTCAAATTCCCCTTGCTTTGGTTGTTACGTTATCTGCACTAGCCTCCAAGGATACAGGACTACCTCTTCAGCCCATATTCTTGAAAAGCCTAATTCTAATTCTAGGCTCTTCCCTCACCTGTAAGCAATTGATTCCACTGTATGGCAGATATAATACCATACACCCTCAAACCCTGTCACTACAGCCCTCTTCCTAGCAGTGCAGCCATGGGAGGGTCCAGCGGTATAATTCTTTTTTTTTTTTTCCTTCCTAGTATGACAATGACTGTCTTAGAGGACTAAACATGCTGATCCATAAAAACGTCCCCCAGAGAGAGACATACCACACAGCCAGGATGAAGATCCCATGGAGCTCACGCTGCAGACTGCGCTAGAACATCTGTGCACATGCAAAATGCATAGGCTCATCTTTATGGGGGAGGACAGTGCTTATGCAGCATCATACCAGGTCACGGTGAAACCGTCCAAGGGAGCTCTCAGGTTACTGTACAAGATGGCATGTGGAAAGCTTTCGGGTGTCTGTCTTCAGCAATCACTGTCCTGTAATGGACCCTTAAGAAAATGCCTTGTTTTCAGTACAATTTGTTGGATCACGGCTGACAAGCTAGGTATGGACCTGTTAGTTTCTTGACCATACCGAAGCTGCTACGATTGGTATTGACATTTATGAAGGAAGGTATTGAAGAAGCAGCTTCTCTTCTGCATGCTTGTTGTGGTTTAACCCTAGCCATCAACTGAGCACCACCCAGCTGCTCACCCACCCTCTCCCGGTGGGATGGGGGAACAGAATTGGAAGAGTAAAAGTGAGAAAACTCATGAGTTGAGATAAGAACAGTTTAATAATTGAAATAAAATGAAGTAAAATAGTAATAATAATATTATATAAAGCAAGTGATGCACGATGCAATTGCTCACCACCCACCCACCAACACTCAGCCAGTCCCTGAGCAGCGATCGCTGCCCCCCGGCCAATTTCCCCCAGTTTATATACTGAGCACAACATCATATGGTGTGGAATCGCCCTTTGGCCAGTTGGGGTCAGCTGTCCTGGCTGTGCCCCCTCCCAGCTTCTTGTGCCCTGGCAGAGCAGGGGAAGCTGAAAAGTCCTTGACTAGTCTAAGCACTACTTAGCAACAACTAAAACATCAGGGTGTTATCAACATTCTTCTCATACTAAATCCAAAACACAGCGCTATGCCAGCTACTGGGAAGAAAATTAACTCTATCCCAGCTGAAACCAGGACAAAGCTAAACAACTTGTGGAGATAACATAAGGCTAGCCAAAGAGAGATAAAGCATCACAATAACCATAAACCAGTCTTCTCTTGGGGAACCATTTCGTCATTTTCTCTACATTGAAAATTGGGGCTAGAATTTGGATTAGTCACAGTGTACATAAAAAAAATCTGTGGGGTTTTTTTTTCTGAATCCTGCTAGGCTACAGAGATAGAGTGTGCTACCATCAGGAATGGTGACCCTGTTAACAGATTAGAAGCCATTATAGTTGTCCTACCTATACTGAAAATTTGGATAAAGCTTCAATCCTTTGCTGCAACTTGCTGGGACCACACTAAAATAAAGGCAGCCTTTGACTAGGATGTCCACCTTATGACCAGCCCTGAAACCCCTTTAAGTGTCTTAGCTACTGTAAGAGCTAGCACTAGAACTCATATATGTTAATTATAACAGATAATGTCATAATCATACAACTTAGGAAGGGACATCTGGGTTTCTGGTTATCTGGTCCAACCTCCTGTTCAATGTAAGGCCAACTTCAAAGTGAGATCAGGTTGTTCAAGGCCATTATTTAATTGAATTTTGGGAACTACCAAGGACGGAGATAATGTAGGAATGGAGATACACTAAGGATAGAAAGCAGCAAAAGAAATGCTGAAGAGCTATGTACTTTGTTTAATTGGGTTAGGCCAAGGCCATCCAGGACACCCGCCCTATGGAAAAAGAAATACCCCTACCTGTCAGCTGAGTGAGGGTAAGCATTTGAGAAAGCTGGGGACAGGCAAGTACAAGAGGTAATAGTACCTGTCACTAACAACACTTGAGAAACAAAGAAACAAGGTTTCAGAATGTGTGTTCTTCTGGCAGCCGGTGTAACTCTTGACAGAATCTGAGGGACACTACACTTGGGAACCATGGATGTCACGATCACAGCATCACAAGCATTGGCTCACCCCTAGGTTGTACAAATAGCACCCGTTCAAACTGAAGGCTAATTGTACCCAACTTCGCTTCTGAAAAGATACATCCATGTTCATCCAAAACCTGCATTAATTTCTTGAGCTTTTTAGTGTTTAAAGGAACTTGGACATCTACAATTTTTATTTATTATTTTTACACAAAAGAAATGAACACATAGTTCTTCCGTAACAGTAATTATAAGTTATTATTACTAGAGAAAAAAACCACTGCTTGTTAGCTACTAAATCAGACAGGAAATAAAAGCTCCTGGAGTATCGGCAGAGCTTCGGGACATCCATTTGCGCTGCCCTTTGCAAAAAGCTGGTACCTATTCCAAACATTTGACGGACACCCTCCTGAGGCCACTACCCAGAGACTATTGCTCTGCAAGCAGCTCTGTTAGTCTGAACTGGAGAGCGCTATTCTGTACTTCTGATAGTTTTTTAAACAGATGATAGTGTCCCTGAAGGGCTTCCCTGCTTCTAAGGCTTTTCACAGTCCTTTAGCCAAATTCCATTTTCATGTTTTATGGGTTTTTTTGTAATTGGCTCACCATCCACGAGAGGAAAGCAACACTACAGACCCAGAACACGGGCGCAGGTAGTGCTGAGCTCATTACTCAGAGTTCTCTGTTTTGTAGAACGCACTGCCCGAGTCCAACAACGACACCTTTGCAATGCCCACTGCTTTTAGAACCGGAGGCCTCGGTCCCGTTTCCCACGTGCAGTCACGCAGGGGCAGGGGCAACGGCAGCAAGCGGGCCCCAGCTTTCTGCACCGGCCTCTGCGGGGACGGTTACTCCGAGGGGTTTTTTCCGTGGC